CTCTCTCTCTCTCTCTCTCTCTCTCTCTCTCTCTCTCTCTCTCTCTCACGCTGTGTGTAGCGTCATGCTCGGCTAGTTCTGAAACAAACAACAAAAAAAAGATTTGTAGACAGAGAAAAATATATCAAGAACCAGGCGATCATATATATATATATATATATATTCTGTGTATAATTCCAACAGGAAACAGTTAGCTCACTTTTGTTGTTTTGGACGGTGCCTTTGGCTAACATCTAGGAGGTTAGCCAATTGTAGGTTGTATTAATTTAATCACGCAATACAGCAGTGGTTGTTGAAGACACACCTGGTGAACTTCTGCAATCTACTGAGTGCACCTTTCTATTTGAATATGCATTTTATTAAATTATGACCAAAGACTGTATGTAATAAGTCACTCATTGGTTTGTGGACTCATGACCCTTTAACATACGGAGCCTCGAGTTAGTTGATTTTGCCGTCACCATCTTGGATTACGGCCATCGCCATGTTGTTTGTTTTGCATCCAATGAACGGAAGTTACCATATTTGAAATGCGGAGGAGTGACGTAGAGACGGCGTATACGGCTCTGGTAGCTTTTTTCTCATAGACTTCTATTCCATAGGACTTATTTTTGCCACCGGAGGAGTCGCCCCCTGCTGGTCAGTAGAGAGAAAGCAAGTTTTAAGACACTTCCGCATTGGCTTCACTCGGCAGAATCGAAGGTTGCCGCCTGATTCTGATACCTTGTTGAAAAATGCTCCTCCCCATGGAAAGTCCTACTCTAGTCAATTAGTTTTACTTTTGCCCTAGACAGAATCACCCTCACAGGGTCTACGTTAATGACGTACATTATCCTCATTATGCAAAACATGAGGACAAACACTATGTGGTGGAAAACTTTGAAATCATATAAAAAGGAGAGAGGTCACGTTCCAAATGGAAGGAATGTCTGCAGCTTGCTCTGAAAAGAAATGTTCAAGTGTTGCCTCATGTAGCCAGAGCGTCGTGTCCGGCACTGCTTTGACCACACATATCCAAACAGAACTATAATTCCAGCCAACAACAACAACCCTGTCAGCCAACAACATTATCATTTTTTTTCTCTCTACAACACAGATATTTCCCCCCCCCTCCAGCTCCACTGAATGCCTGATAGGATTATAACAGCGAGTGCGCTCAGAGGGGGGGCTCAGCTGGGCAGTCATGGGAGAAGCTCAAACGCGGCGCCTACAGACAAAACAGTCCCACGGTCGCATCACACGGTAGCAATGTCCTGGTGGAGGCGCAAGATGCAGAAGAAAACAACCTGGAACATTCATCAGATCGTGCACAGCGGACTTGCGGACTTTGTCTCTCCGTTGTACAAATTGTTCCAGGCTCGCAGGGAGTTCACCTCGCTGTCAGGGGAGCATCACGTTTTTCAGGTTCATATTTGTATTTAGGGTCTCTTTAAGCCACCCTCTTGTAAAAGCCAAGTGTGCTCTGATTGGCTTGAGAGAAAAATACGGTACACACCTCTGCAAAGGTAGTTCTCAAGCTGTATTCTAATGAGCCTGCATGCGACATAGAAAGGGTTGAATCACATGTTTTTGGATCCAGGCAGCCCACAACAAAAGCTGACTGGGTTGTCTGATTTCATAGCCAGCTTTGATAGGGACTCCAGATACTCACATGTATGTGCACAAGCACTGTAAAGTGAGTTTTTCATGATATCTCCACTTCCCCTCAGGGCCTAAACTTAAAATCAGAGTGCTTTCAGCAAATGGGCCACACTTAAACCGATAGCGTCCACTGTGGCTCCTACACTTTGAGACAGCCTCAAACCCCTTGAAGTGCTTGAAATACAACAGAGATTTCATCTTCTATAAATGCTTGACCTGAAACTGTAGCTGCATACGACAGTTCACATTCAAACAATTAACATCTTAAGACAATTGTCAGTTTAAGTGAGCACAAAAAGCCTTTTTTGCGGTCTGCATAAAATGCTTTACCTGATACTAACCAACGGATTCCTTCTATGTCCCAAAGTCTACACAACAACAGACCCTCAAGTCATTTGAAGCTGATGCCAGGCGTTTTCTTGAATAACATCTCTGTCAACCTTAAGTTTCAGATCCCGATTGCTGGAAGCCTCGCTGCATTATTCTCCCCATTACAGCCACGGAATCTGCTAACCCTGGAGGAGCTGGGAGAAAGACACCGTTTCCCCCACACACAGATTAAGGGTCTGCACGTACACCAATTTACACACACACACACACACACACACACACACACACACACACACACACACTCCTATCCAACAGGCCTGAAACAAGATCCCATGAAAACCTGCGGATGTACTCTGTACGCAGGCAAGTGTGCGTCATGGCAAGGGACCGTGCATGCTGCATAAGGGCTGTCCGTTTAGTTTGTGCTACGACACAACTATCCCACCGCGCGCGCGCACGCACGCGCACACACACACACACACACGCACACGCACACACACCAAGAAATACACACTTTCCCTTTAAGTCTTTGAGTGGCCCAGAGGGGGTCTCATATATCTGCTACCTAACAGTTTGGCAGCACACAGTAGCATCTCGATTACAATTACCCCCCTCCAGACCGGCACATAAACTCCCTCCCACACACCCACACACACTTGTAACCCTTTGATCTTCCATGCTATTTCATGCTGTATCCAGGTAAAAAAGTTTCCAAAGCTGATCATGTCTGCTTCAGTGAGAAAATCGATGTATCAATGTGTTAGAAGTAGAGTAGAACCATTGACTGACGACTACCTTGAGCAAAATGTCCCTTTAATTTCTGTCTAAATTGTTTTTTTTTATCTCACCCATAATATCCCTGAAGAGCAGGGAACTGTGGGAAAGAAATGAAGGAATGGGAACAAGGAGGTTCGAGGAATTTGTTTGGAAATAACATCCTGATATCAGCTCAGGGACCGACTGCCCTACGCTGAGGACCGCAACTCAAAATCTGAAGGCTGTCCGTCATTTTGCCAAAATATCGTGAATTACGAAAAAGTGTATTGGATTAGAAACACAAACTCCACCTTTAAATACATCTTAAGCCCATGTCTTATTATAAATAAAACATTTAAATGACGATGGATAACAGATTATGACGGAATCTTTACAACATTGTCAAAACGACGGACAACGAGAAAGTCTAACGCAACCACTGCTTGAGTAGTAGTGTAACTTACTCTGTGTATTACCTTGTATGACAGTGCAACATTTTGAAATGCTCACTCGTCAACATTTTAACTGCTTTCCAGGCTTATACATGTACTAATATTACTCATCAGCAAGAATAAATCTTTCTGTTCCGATCTGCTTTTCAGTTCATGTTTTTAACTGTTGTATTGTTATATAGTTTATAATAGTGACAAAAATTCCCATTTAAAACTACTTAAGAATATTTCAACTATTTTGTTTGGTAGTTGTTAACTCTCAGTCAGTCAGAGCTTCCATGACTGGAATCACCCAGTAATTGATTACACAATCCCATCTTCCGACTTACAGCTTCCTAGTCGTGACTCCCAGGACCTTAGGGCCTACTATACATGTCTTCCTATTAACGCTGACAACTCGCATACTGGATATCTATTTCCAAACACTGAATGGATGACGTGTTGATCAAGTCAGCTATTTCAGTAACTTCAAGTGTCTATAATGGAGGTGTGACCTGCAACACAAGAACCTTTCAGAAGTTACAGGATACTTAACAGCATTTATGGATATGTATGTGACGGATATTGCCTATTAGATGTTAAGGCCAGGTGTCAGTGTTGAGATCAGTGCACCTGCCCACCCATTAATATATATGTATATATATGTATATATATATGTATATATACATATATATACATATA